CTCTTATTCATAGGTAATGAACTGTATTGCTGAATTACTGAAATAACTTGGGTGAATTGCAAATGAGTAAATGTTTCACCAAATTGATTTCCTAAAAAATAATCGTAATTACAAAACTAATAATGAAACAATTAGCACATAAAGGATCTTAAAGTTATACCAATTGCAAGTATTGACTGCATCAAAAAAGGCAACGTTGAACTTTCTTTGAGCAACATTTTGTAAATTTGCTTCATTATATGTTTGGATGTCAAAATAGGCCCTATAAGCGTACTAAAGGATAATTATATTCTGTTACTCAAAGGTCTTAAATACAAAAATAAAATACAATTAGAATTCGATCTCACCAGATATCTACTAGAGCAGAATTTGCGAACTGTGCCACTAATGGCAATGCGTGATCCAAACTTGACGGATCTTCAGGTGCGGAAGCTGGACTTGAAATCATATCATTTAAAACATTTGATTTTTGTGCATATGAAAGTTTTGCATCATTGAAATCATAGGGTGCGATGTTATCTTCAATAGTCAGCGCTTCTAAATAAAGAGGGAAAAGTTGCTGTAAGAAATTCGTGATGCCAAATCGGTACACAAACTCGGTAATAATGACGGGATGAAACAATGCTTTAGGTATGGAAGGGCGTGACGACTATGTAAATAAAGTATATCAATTACAAAAATATAATTTAGGATTAAATAATAAATAAAAAGTAATGTTTTTGAAAAAAAGTCATACTTCAAATAAGGAAATTATTGGTTTCAAAAGGTAAGTCTTCGTGTCATCTTGGCCCAATCTTTGTCCGAGACTTGAAAAAATATTCAATGCTTCAATTTTTATAATATCAACTGTAAATAGTAACACTAGGCTTGGTAAAATCATGAGAAAGGCCTAATATATATTTTAAAAAATTAAATTTAATAACTAAATAACTTTCCTTAGATCAATTACAGTCACCAATAATTTTATACCTCATCAATAAGTTTGCAGAGTCTTTCCATCCAATGTTCTGTAAGTTTTAGCCTTCCAATCCAATCACTATTGTTAATTATAAACAAGAAATGTAATATTAATATTACCACTGTATTTACAATATTTTAGTAAATAGTTTGCATGAAATATAAATAACTTACACCCGATGAAAATCGGTCAAGAATTCATAAGCTTCAGTAATACATTCTGGCAACGGTAAAGTTAAACCTTCATCATATAAACCCATCACAGGAACGGATGAATAAAGTAAAGCATCAATCGAAGGACGTTGTTTCCAATTTGGAGACATTAATGATGACACAACTTTTTGCATAGAAAGTGGTAACTTAAACATAAATATGAATATATTTAGATTTGTTAATTCGTATTCACAACTTATACTAAAAAAAAGTAAAGACAAATGAAAAACCTTATTTCTAGAAATACCTTATAAAAGTCTTTTGGATTTGCACCATTTTGATGCTGATGTACTGAAAGGATTGATATTCCGGTATCATTTTTTACAGCGGAATATATGCTTTGAATGATTTCTCCAAGGAAATAAGCATCCCATGCCCTTCCATATGCAAAATATGAATCAACTGTTTCATTTGCCGTGCCTTGTTTATGACTACTCTGAATATTACCGAAATGCTGTGAATATTCATGTTTTATATACTTGTGGGGGAGGTATTTTGCAGAAAAAGAATGTGCTTGTTCAAAATTGTTCAGGCTTTCAATAAAGTACTCGTCACCAATATCATTCGGTAAATGTATTGGAAAAGAATTAATATATGCGGATAAAGCTTCAAAACGAGAAATAGGATCTTTCGGATCCTTTTCATCAAGTGAAACAGCATCGTATAGTGATAATTGTTTTGAAGTAGGGGCCAATTTTGGTGATTTTAATCGCGAAGATATAGTTTGATATTTTCCCATGGTCTTTTCAGATCCTAACAAATCTCCAACGACTTCGATCAATTGTTTATTCGAATCCGTAGGCTTGAGTTGTATTCGTTTTTTACTCGAGATATTTTCATACTTTTCTAACAATGACATATTGCCATTAATATTTACAGGAGATCTAAACAGAAGGGTATTATATTAATTAATAGTTAAACATTTTTAAAATAAATTATATGATGTAAAAAATTTTGAAAAACCTTTTATTGCTATCAGATCTCACAATTTTCTGTGGGTGTGGATCCGAAAAAAGTTGAGTGATCCCGTGCTTCATAAAAGAATTTTGACCGTCCAAAAGCGGTAATGCAACATTTTTTGCTTCAACCGCATCAGCACCTATCAAGTAATATATAACCGTAATCTATAAATATCTATGTAAAAGTTATTCATAAGTTATTCACAACAATCTCACACCATATTATTGTTATGGGGTGAGTGTTTAGAGTCAACGAACTTGTGCATTACCACTAAGTTTACATCCGAATGACAAATCAATCCAAATGTGTAAATTTTTCGATACATGATCGCTTTCTAAAGCTTCTGAATGAATGCGTATAAATTCTTCAGCAGAAGAAGCCCACCTATAATAAATAAAATAAATCAGTTAGTCAAATTAACGTTTGGATCATTATCTTGTAGATATTCATAACATTCATTTTATAAAAAAAAAAAAAAAAAAAATTTACGTTGGAAGTTGTAAATCTGGCATGTCAGGATGTATTGAAGTAAAAATACTTGGATCTAAATGATATTTAATAGTTAGAAATTATTTGACTTGCATTTACAAGTGACATGTAATGCAAAAAGTATTACATTTTCAGACCTGTATAAAACTCTGGGATACATTCATCAGGAGTCCATTCGAACAATCTTTGTAATGAAGATGGATACTCATTCGGCTCATACTTAGTTCTTACATACTGACATAACACCTATACAAATAAAATAACACAGTCAGATAATACATAATAGATAAAGTGAGCTACTTATGAAGATTAAAAACAAACCGGAATAGGAGTTTTTCGAGCAAGATACACATAATAAGTGATATCAGATAAAATATCGGTGATGTGATGAGGTACTGGACCATCATATGTAAAATCCAGTTGCTCATCACCTATAATAACAAATACTATTAACATTCAAACCTGAACACAATAATAAAAGGAGATACTTTGGATCTATTTAATAATCGAATTATATTTGCCTTGCCTTTGTTTAGGCGAAATTTGGTTTTTGTGAAATCCCGCCAATTTTCTGAAACAGATGCACCGGTAAAATCCGTAATCCATGGAAAAATTGGATGAAAATTTGGGTCACCAATCCTTCTGCCTATGTATGAATCGATTTAATAAGATAATGGATTTATTTATTAAGAACAAACAAAATCTCTACTAACCCGCAAGATGATTCAAAGCCATTATATAGTCAAAATTTGATATCTTTCCATGTACCCATTTCATTGTGAGAGAATCATCTTGAATTTCTATAATTTTGCAATATTTTTAATTTCACTATACAAACAAACATATATATATATATAATTTATATAAAACTACAACTAGATACCATTCGGAATATTTTCCAAAGCAAAATCATGATTTATATGTTGATTTGTTTTATCTAATTAAGAAAAAATTATAAATTACTTTATATATTATAAACGAGCATTATTAAAAACCTACATTATAACAAAATGCAAACCTGATAAATCTTCAGTCTTTGGTACGGAACATTCAAATCCTGTAAGTGTCACCCATAGATTTTCATCCACCAGAATGTTAGATGGTTTAAGTCTACATAAATGATAAGTTCGAATGGTTAACTAGAATATAAACTTTTTTAAAAAAAAGATCAATTAATACTAACCCTCCATGAATAACACCTCTCATATGAAGATTTTGAACGGTTCTTAATAATTGGTATATAATAAAAGATTTTTTTACATTAGAATTCAATACACCAGAACTATATTTTAGCAAATCTTCTAAAGTAGTGCCACTATATGGAGCCATGAAGTAATATGCACGATCAGATTCCAAAACTGCAAAGACATCGATAATATTTGGACTTGTTGTTATAGGCATATCTGAAGACCAGTCAGGTTGAGAAACAGCTTCTACAAATAAAATATCATCAGCATTTTCAGGCTGTGATACGATTCGAAAATAAGCACTTTCTGGATACAATATTTCTATAAATTTTTTCACAAATGCCTTTTACATTATAAAGTTAAAAATTCAGTAAGAAAAAAAATTATCTAGATTAATTTTGAGATACAAAAAACAAATAAGACTACTTTTTGCCTAGCCAGTTCAACATCCAATTCAGACAAATTTTCAGGATTTTGGAGATCCTTATCAGAAAATATAGGTGTGTAATTATTGTATTGTGCCTCAATATCAGCCAAACTTAGTAACGGCTTTCCTTCACGTTGTTCTTTAAGGAAATATCTTAAAGGTAAGTCATCCCGTTCATGGAAATTAGTGGAAGAGTAGTTGAAACCGTTGTCAGAAGGATTTCGAGCATATAATTGCGGCTTACTGAAAAAAACAAAATTATGTAAGATTCTGAGATTCTGGAATGATACTATATTATACATAAAATCATTATTAATTAATGTAAAATTAACCTAAGTTTGGGGTCTGATAACCCTTGCTTCAAATACACAGTGACTAGTACATTGGTCGTCGAAGATTGATGATCGTTAGTTTGATCCGAAATGTTATTTAAGGGAGAGCGAGTAGCGGCATGTTTGTTGATTTTTGTGATTTCACCGATCTTTGATTTCCTTAGGGCGGTAAACCAATGTTTATGGACCTATGATTTTGTTTGAATAGTCACCTTTTTTAAAAGAGGTAACGAATTTAAGATTTTAAATTTTTGCTGCTTAATACCCACCACACAGCAAGCAGTAGAGCCATACTGTTCTTTAACAGAAAAACAAGGAAAAGCAACATCTATATGTAATTCTTGAGCAATGATTGCTGTCAATTCTTCCCTGCGCAGTTTAGATATAGAGACCATTTTACGATTTAGATTTAGACGTCGGAAAATTAAGGTAATGTTTAATTAACAGTTAAGGGATCAACAAATTGCATGGCGGGCTTTCATTTGATTTGGCGATCACAAAAATATATGTCTCCTGTCAAACTTAACGATAACGATAATCTAACATTAGTAGTAAAAAAGAAAAATATGTACGTACGTACGTATTAAAAGTTAATTTAGTTGAGAAACATAGAGACGGATCGATAAATGTTTTTCTAACAATTTTATTGGCTGCGGAATAATAATTTTAATAATTCGATAATTTTTAGTTGTCTAAGATCACCCAGGCAGAATCTGATAAGATAAAAGTAGAATCTGGCTCAGTCAAAAAATAAGTACTGTATATATTCATATTCATTTGGTCAACCTTTTTAGGATTTGAATATTCATTCAAATCTTTTGAATGAATATTCGACTATTCATTGAATATTAATATATAATTATAAAATAAAATTATTAAACAAATAAAATAATTGTTAATAAATAATTTTTAGATTTATAAGCTATATTAAAATAAATAAATAAACTATATATATATATAATTTATTTTTAGCTATAATAAAATTTTATTTTATTTATTTGATATAGTATTATTAATCAATTAATCAAAATACAAAATTATAAAAATTATAGAGGGAAATTATAGGCATCTCTCGCGAGAGATATATCTCCAAAATCTTTAAAGTTTATTTATGTTAGGATAGCATTATATTAAGATTAGAAATAACCACAATACATAGTAAATTTTTCCAAGGAACACTTCGTTAACCTATACGTTTTTTTTGAAAAATCAATTTTTCCTTCGAATGAACGTTTTGAATTTTCCTGATCGTGTTACGTTACATTAAATTGTGGCTTGCTATTGGCAGGAGATAAGATATGAATATTTTATTATGTATTTTAATTGGTTAATCAAATAGAATATATTCGTTGACTATTCATTGATATATTCGAATATACTATTCATTGAATCAGACCTCTAGTTAAAAGGATAAATTCGTAATACATATCGAATTAAAGTAATTGGCTTTTCGGGTTTGGATTATTTGCAAATGATATGCTTTTCAAAGCTATGGACTATATAAGTTTTTATTTTATTTTTTTTTTCCGAACGTCTCTTAGGGTCTCTTAGGGTTTCTTAGGGTCTCTTAGGAACGACGTAAGTTCTGAAATTCACGATGTTGATTGATCGATCAATAACTTACGGATTGAGTCCGCATCAAATCCAAATTCACTGATCGAAACGCTAACGTTAGCTTGTCTAGGTACTAATAATTTGCCAATTATGTCAATCATATCGATATGAAAATCCGCCATGATCTTTTATAACATTAATAGGAACAAAAAAATACTGCATAAAGCATGATTTTGTTTATTAACATCTTGCAAAGGATGCGAAAGATTATGATGTGTATATATTCGTATATACAAAAAGAAATATTTGACGGGCGCAAATATAAACACGTGAACATTGTTCAAAGTCACATGAACGCACTCACTAATTACTCTCGATTATAATTACAATTATTCAGTAGGTAACGAATTATTGTTTTTTCTTGCGAGATTCAACTTCACCACCACCAGAAATAACGCCAACACGAAGAGAAGACATCAAGTTCCTAGCAGCATTCGAATGACCATAAACACCACCGTTGAATGCAGTGGTTACATCTTTTCCTAGGGAAGTAGCGAGAATTGTTCTACCACCAGGGTGTTCATCCATAAAACTGCTAACATCATGAATTACACCCTCAATACAGATCCAATTATTTGAAACTGCATTCTCTAAAACTATAAATAAATAAATAAATGGACTAAAGAATAGATAAATAAGGAATTTTTAAATTTTAACTTACATTCATCAAAGGTATAAATAGGTAATTGATCTAATGGAACACCCCAATTCAACTTCTTTTTTTCTTCATCTAATTTTTTTTGCTTCATTATTAATTGACCTTTCTTTATTTCGTTATCAGGGAATGTCTTTAAATGACGAGTGAATCCAAGATATGAAAGGAATTTAATCAACCATTTTGTTGGATCGTACTGATAAAATTTTATTGCATTTCTGTAATCCATTGGAAATTCATGATGAAAATTATGATAACCTTCACCTAAACTTAGAATTGCAGTAATAAAATGATCGCGTGGTGTGTTACGATCATCAAATGGTTTGTCACCAAAGTAATGAGCTAAGGAGTTAACACAAAATGTTGCGTGATGTACAAAAACTAGACGTGCAATAGCAGCATAATAAAATCCACCCTAAATAAAGATTGAATGAATGAATTAAGAGAAAAGAACAATCGAGAGAAAAGGTCAACTAATACTCACTCTCCAATCACCCCAACCGTAACCAGCAACTATTGTAGGAAATATAAACCCAAGTACCAAAGCAAATACACCGTAATATTTGCCTTGAAACATAATTAAAGGATCAGCACTAAGATCTGATATATCAGCACGACCAATACGATATGGATTCTGTTTTAATAACATCCAACCCAAATGAGAATAAAAAAAGCCTCTGTGAGCATTATAAGGATCTAATTCAGTATCAGTCCACCTATGATGAGCTCGATGATCTCTGCACCACCATCGAATTGAACCTTCAACGGCGCCAGAAGCGGCAAACATAAGAAAAATTTCAAAAGGACGACTTGCTTTATAAGAACGGTGAGCCCATAATCTGTGATAACCTGCATATTAAATTTATTTATAAGCAGTAGATGTTTAATCAAATAAAATTAAGGTTTGTTACACTGATACCAAATAAAGAAAGTCATTCCAATAACTAATATTATATAATTTATAGCACTGTATGCGATAATATCGTATTTTACACAATTACTAGAGATAGGGATGCACAAGTGGCCGCTAAAGTTCATTTAAATACATGGTATTTAATTTAAACCAAAGATTCATTTTATGAATCCTAAAAAAATGTGCAATTTCCCATCTCCAACAATTACCACTTGATGGCTTGGGTCAAAATTTATTTTTCAAGCCAAAAAAGAAGTTTGAACTAGATCGAAAGTTCTAGTAAAAAGTCACCTGGAGACGATGTTCGGAAATTTCACGAACCTGCCGTAATTCCCAACCCAGTTATGAAATAATATATAATTGCCCATATCAACGTTTTCAACTGAATATCTGTAGTGAAAAATCCGTAGAGTGCAATAAAAGGCGTTGAAAGAAGTACAGAAGTGTGAAGCCAATTTATATGTTTATACCAATTCTGCCAGGTAATCGGATCATCTCGAATATGCCATTTTTTTGGGTTGTTTTTTATAGGTTCAACCTTTGCAGGTTGAGGAGGTAAAGGTAATTTCGCCATGGAAAATCACCGTTTATTATACGATTTTCAAATGAAATTAAAAAAAAAAGAAAAAAAAAATCAGAAAACACACATATATATATATATGAAAATATTGTAAAGTGACTGAAATAGGCTTAATACACGTATATTTATGTTTATTTTTTTTAATTTTTTTTTTTTTTTATTAACGTTAAATGACGATTGCACACTAATTAGGCTGAGTCAATTTTTCACTCGAATTAAGGGATATATATAAAAATTTGATGAGTCAAGAAAAGCACTTGAAAAAAATAAGTATGCCGCAGGAAAATCAGGAATTTTATTTTTCAGCCCCGAATGGGGAAGAGACTAAGAATTTTTTGGGGAAAGTTTTTTAACCAATATTTGTATCTCTTATTACTTTTGTTTATTTTTTTCGCAGTTGATGTACGCATGTGGCACTGCCAACCATTCCGATCGTTTGATGCTAATGCTAAATCATGTGGATAATAATATTTGAATCACAAAAAAGATAACGCCATATCCATCTTAAAAGATATGCATATGTGAACACATATGGAGACACGAAATACAAAACTTACGTACGTACGTGTAGCTACCAGGTAACCCTGCCCAATTCTGATCTACAGTTTTAAGAAATTTGATTATTTTTGTTCTACTATACGTGCAGATACGTACGTAGATGTTTTAACAAAGTTCCAAAGTTAGAGTTTTTTTTGTTTTACAATTTTATGAATTTCTAAAATATTCCAAAATGATAATCAACAGATTTTATATAGTATAGCATATGTGCAATATAGAATATAAACTATATGGATATGTAGTGTAAGTGAAACAAGCTTGTTAATTAGTAATTATATACTGTATTGTCCAATTAATTTTTTAAAAATTTAATGTTTTTGAAAAAGCTTTTTTTTTTTTAAACCCTTATCTGATTGCATTACAATGGTATGCGTATATACTTACACATCTTTCTTTATTTATTGTTATGGATCAGACTAAAGGATAATCGACTTCTACATATATGTACTGAATCCGTATAGTACGGGGATGTAAAATACTTATCGATATCTATCGATTCCTACCAATTCGATAGAAATCGACATATACAATAACCCTAAATAACTATCGATATTCATCGGCCAAAAAAATTTCCTGATACAAATATCGTAACCTACGAATCAAGTACGTATCATATGTCAGGATTAGGAATTATACGATTATTATAGGAATGGGTAGTAGATCAGTGTGATTTGAGTGACCAGATCAATATAATATATGAAGCGATACCGTACTACTGTCTGCTGCAATTCCTAACGCTAACCTTAATATTATACATAATAGCGAGCTCTCGGGTTTTCATAGAGGCAAAAATAGCACTACGTAGTGATATCGAGAAAACATTCAAACTAAATTCGGTAAGATTTTTCTTATTTTTGTTCTATGGATTAAAAAAAAACAACATTTGATAGAATATGTGGCTGTATCACTATTATTTCTGCAATTGATACAAACTCAAAAAGGAAATTTTTCTATGTAGATCGCAATAGCAGGTGCAATCTTTGTGTAACGTGAAATAGAACATCCCGGTAGCCAAAATTTTGCCTAGGAAAAAAATTCCTGGCTAAATTTTACTATATGATGTTTTCTTCTCTAACACTGGTCAAATTTCGCGAAAAATAACAACAAATAAATATATTGCGATTTTAAATTCGTACCACACTCCGATACCATACAATTTTATTCATCTTTATACCGTTATTTCCAAATTTGTGACCTTTTGGCAACTCTTGCAGATTGATGTAACACTTTTACAGATTTTGATCATCCATAGTTAATGAACTTTGTTATCAGTGTAACGCAGATTGTATCGCACGATCTAATATGTTTATTACGTACAGTAAATTACGTAACGTAACTCGATAAGTAATTTAAGAGTCGTGATAACATATACGAAATAAATATTTTGATTTTTGTAAAATCAATTTCTGATAGATCTTATCAAGAGTACTAAGAAATTAGTGTCTGTTTTTACAAATTTCCAAATAACGTAAATTCTAGAAACAACGGCCAGGGGTGAAACTACGAAATTATGCTTAATTCGGGTCAAAACTCAACGCCCATTCCCTCTATTTTGAGAATTTACGGTATATACATGCATTACTGAATAAAAGTAACCAAACTGTGAATTTTTTTCAAGTTAAAATAAAGGAGTTGCTTATATTCGAATCCAATATTATTAGAGATGTTAAGCAGCCTGGTCTAAATAATAATAGACCAGTCTGAAACTGAGAAAAGTTAGCCTACTCTCAGTTTTAGACCAAACCAGTTTGGATATACGTGTCTAAATCACTCAAAATAAAATCATTGAAAGATTGAAACAGACAGAACTAGACCAGACCATTGATACCCCTAAATTTTATTAATAAACATAATCTTTGTCAAATTTTTGGCTTCAGACTCGAGAAGGCAAAGATGCTTCCAATTGGTAATATGCGGTACTCTTTGAGTTAGAAATGTTTTATGTTTCGACTATCCGCACTATCACCACGTATATATATAGTGATTTTGGCCGATAGTGAAAAAATTGGCTAAAAGCAAATTATCGGCTTAGCCGGTCGATTTTTTTAAATTCGGCTGATCAATTTTATTACTAGGATTGTAGCATTCTAGGTGGAAAATGAATGAATGAACCTATAATATGAGCAAGGTTGAAGCCAAAATTTTCAGTTAAGTCCGAATTAATTTGTGTAGTTTTAAAATCGGCTAAGCCGGCTAAGCTGGTAAAATTTATCGGCTTAGTCATAGCCGAAAAATTTTGATCGGCCAAAATCACTATCTGTCATATAGCAAATCTAATTAGATAGCAAGTTTTTGATTTGAGATATGAGTTGTAGAAAGACTACCTTTACTAACTATAATTATACTAATAGAGATCTTAAGAAAATTTGCAGTAGATTATATTTATAGATATACTAAATTGGGAGCTTATTAGAAGTAAACATCTAATATACTAAATTAAAAGTTATACTTGGTGTTAGTAAAACATAAAGAAATATAATAAAAACTAGAAGTAGTTAGTTGAAAAGCAAAAAGCTAAGTGATATATATATAGGGCATAAACCACTCTAGTAAGTTTAGGTCTAAATTTTTATAATTCTAGTTAGATAAGTTAATATATATAACTGGTAGCCCATTAAGATTACTATGTTAATAAAACCAGAGGTATGATTTCATCTTAAACATTAAAAAAAATAAAAATAAAATTTAAAGTATTGCTATTTCTACTTTTATTTTTGTTAATACCACTCTAAATTTAAAAAAATGTTCTAAAAGAGATATTTTTATTAATTAAACCTTCTTTTAGTCTTAATAAAAGTTGTTCATCAAATCTTTTTGGTTCTAATGATAATAAAATCATTAATATCAAACTAGTATTTTTGTTTTAAAAGTAAATAAAAGTTAACTAACTTCAGATACAAATTTATTAAAAACTACTAATTAGATTTTAATAATTTTATTATCATTAGAACCAAAAGGTCTAATAAATAACTTTTATTAAGACTAAAAGAGAATTTTTTTAATAAAAATATCTTTTCTAGAGCACTTTTAATATCTGGAAGTGACAATAGCAAAAATGGGAGTAGAAATAGTAATACTCTAAATTTATATATATAATTATTTAATTTTTAAACTTAATAGATAATCTATTTGTCAATCTGCAAATTTTATAAATAAATTTTACTATTAAACCAAAAATAGAGATATTACTATATATCTAAAACTTTTTTCTTACTAAGTAAATTACTATTGAACTTATAACAAAAGTTGTAAAACTCATTAAAACATATCTAATAGTAGTAAGAATATTAAAATCAACTTGGTAATTCTCAAGAAATCTTTAAAAAACATTTTATTAACATAGTAATTTCTTTAAAAAAAATTAATTTTTTAAAGAAATTTTATAAATTAGCAAAATATTTTTTAAAGATTTCTCAAGAACCACAAGCCAATTTTAACATGCTCACTATTATTCAATATATTTTAATAAGCTCTACAACTTTCATTATGAGGCCAAGAGTAATTTATTTAATAAGAAAAAAAATTTAAATATAATATCTTTATATTTACTAATTGAAAAATTTATATATAATTTATATATAAATCTTGTATAATCTATATCACATAACTCTTCAAATGACTGGTAAATCATCTATTAAAAAAATATATTTAAAATAGAGGCTAATAATTGTATTCACAAATTTGATATTTATATTTTCACAGAAATTAAACTTTAAACAAAGATATCTTAATAACTACTGACTAAATTTGATAATTTTTTATTTAAATTTTAAAAAATTGTAAAATTTAAATAAAAAAAATCTATCAAATTTGATTAAGTAATGTTAAAATATTTTCATTCAAAGTTTTTAAAAAAATTAAAACATCTATCAAAACAAAGCTGTACCAAAATTTTTCTAAACTTTAAACAAAAATATCTCAATAACAATCACCTAACTAAATTTGATAAAATTTTTTTATTTAAATTTTAGAGATTTATAAGAATTCAAATAAAAAAATTTCATCAAATTTGATTAGGTGGTTGTCAAGATATCTTTTTTTAAAGTTTAAAAAATTAAAACATCTATAAAACAAAGATGCACTAAAACTTTAAGTGAAAATACAGTCAGACCTCAATATAATCACCAGGTTGGGAAACAAAAATTTGGTGATTATAAAAAGGTGTGACTATATAAAGGTCAAATTTTATATTTTTTATAATGGCTAAGATTAAGAAATAATGTGACTATAACAAGGTCGTGACTATATCAAGAGTGATTATAATGAGGTCTAACTGTATCTTTACAATTATCTGATCAAATTCAATAAATTTTTTTTATTTAATTCTACAGATCTTTAAAATTCAAATAAAAAAAATTATTGAATTTGGTTAGATGGTTGTTAAGATATTTTCACTTAAAGTTTTAAAAAAATTTTAATGCAGTTTTGTTTTGATA